GGAACCAATCAAGTTCTGCTAAATGGTTTGAAATAAAGGCGGGAACCAATCAAGTTCTGCTGAGTGTTCAAATTTAAATGTTAACCAACAACAGCTCTGTAACCTCTAAAAAATATTCCTAACTTGTTTGTGCCTATCTATAAAAGAAGCTGTAAGATCCTTACTCGGGGCCTCTTAGCGTCACCGGCAACGAGTGCGCAGAGGACCAGGTTCAAATCTGCAATAAACGACCCTTGCTGCTTGGCTTTGATTCTGTACTCTGGTGGTTTGTTTTCGGAGGGAGGGGTCTCTCAAATCGGGGCATATCATCTGGGGGCTCGTCCAGGATCCCCCCAAACCCACCAGACCCCAAGTCAATGGGTCGTCCCTGAGACCGATTGGTGAGTGAGCCGGCTCTGTCCATTTCTGTTTGTCTGTTCGTTTCTGGCTCTGTCCGTTTCTGTTTGTTCATTTCTGGCTCTCCCGCGCGGGATCTGTATCGGTGACTGACACGGCCCTGGGGACACGCTATAGGGCAGTTGGTCGGGTCCAGTAGGAGACGTCCACTGGCACCCGTCTGGGGCACCTTTTTGGGCCCATCGAAATTTTTCTGTTCGGGTGGCAAACACCCGAAATGCGCTAGCGTTCTAAGTGTTGTGTTCTCTATTCTATAATTTTTAAGTGTTAAACTCCTTCTCTTTCACAGGCGACCTGGCCTGGCCCAGCCAGAAATCCTCATAACTTTACTGTTTCTCCTTTTAATCCTTTCCTCCACCTCCAGGATACAGATGGGTCAATCTCAAAGCACTCCTCTTTCTCTCCTCGTTGCTAACTTCAGGGATGTTAAAACCAGAGGACAGAATTTGAGTTTAGACATCTGGCGAGGAAAATTAATAACCCTCTGCCGCTCTGAATGGCCAACCTTCGGCGTTGGATGGCTAACCGAAGGAACTTTCTGCCTCCCTATAATTGCTAAGGTGAAATCAAAGATTTTTCTACTGGGACACCCTGATCAAATTCCCTACATTTTTGTATGGCGGAGTTCAGTGGAAAATCCACCCCCTTGGTTGGCCCCCTTCCTATCCTCGGGAACATGTAAGGTCCTTGCCATGCAACCTGCAGGTCCCCCAAAATCAAGGAGCCAGCCGTGCCCTTGTATCCCATATTGCCCGATAGTCAGGGCCTACTATCCCTAGACCCTCCACCCTATCATCCCCCTCCCCTCGCACCCCAGGCCCTGCCCACGGCAGCCGCCCCACCAGTTGCCCCACTAGTTGCCCCCCTAGGGGAACCGGGAGGACGGGAAGCGGCAGCTGTGCCGGAACCAGGAGGACGGGAGGCAGCAGCCGCGCGGAGCCCCATTGAAAATGAAACCAACCACAAGGGGCCAGCCGGCCGAACCCGCAGGCGCACCCAGCGTGAGCCAAACCCTCACCTCCCTGACTCCACTGTGGCCCTACCCCTGCAGGAAATAGGACCCCCCGATGAAACAGGCAACCCCCAACTCCAGTATTGGCCCTTTTCCACTAGTGACCTTTACAACTGGAAAACGCAGAATGCTCGATTCTCTGATAACCCTAGTGATCTAATAGCTCTTTTAGACAGTGTCATGTTCACCCACCAGCCCACCTGGGACGACTGTCAGCAGCTCCTCTGCATCCTGTTCACCACAGAGGAGCGAGAGAGGATCCAATTAGAAGCAAGAAATCTGGTTCCCGGAGACGACGGTCGGCCGACATCTAACCCTGACCTCATTAATGCGGCTTTCCCCCTAACCAGACCTCCACAACGAATGGGACTACAACATGGCAGAAGGTAGGGGAAGGCTACTCATTTATCGCCAGACTCTGA